CAGCAGGCATTGCCAATCTGCACTCCGCCCTGACCAGCGTGTATACTGATGACTTCACGCTAAAAAGGTGAAGATGTCTTTTAAGAGTCCAAATGGAGGCAAAAAACGAGACAGAAAACTGTCGAAGTTTACCATTCGGAGACTTTAGGGACTTTTAGTTTCGTGGAGCGGCAACCAGATTTAGAAACTGAGCTTCCGGCCTCGACTGACTTAGCACTTCTGTAAAATCGATAGAATTACATTTGAACTACTTTGTTCCCGATCGATATTCGCCGGCGAGCTGAGTCGACCAGTGGGGTGGGGACAAATTCTAGCTTTAAGTGCCTGTTAGAAATTATTGAATCTAGTAATATTTGGACTGGGCCAAATTAGCCTTTATCGGTTATGAATGAAATAAGCCTGACATGCGTGTTGCTAGATTATAGACTTTCCTTCGACAGGGAATTTTTCTGATATGCCGTCATTGCATCACAAACATCAGCTCTGCTGTAGATTTTGTGTTCGGATAAACAGGACACCCCTAAGTAAGTTGTCATCAGAGAGAGAGAGAAAAAAAAAGAAAGAAAGAAAGAAAGAGGGATAGAAGGCAGGGAGTAAGGGCCTGTAGCATGTGATAATAAAACTTTGTAGAAAAAGATACCTTGACTCTCGCTACTGGCAGGCAAACGGAGATACTCAGATGAAGATATGAAGAAAGATAAATAACTAAACGATCGTTCCTGTAATATGTCTGATTTTCATATTTTCGCTTCACCATTCGAATTAATGAAAATCATGCCGAGTTGGACGGAGTGATTTAATTGTCAATAGGATGAATGGTGTTAACCAAGTGTAAGAAAGTTCGATCACCAATGTACAGGACCACCGGGAAATTCCATTGAAATATGGTCTTTGTCAGATAGGGATCAAAAGTACTAGCAGCAGAAGAGATCACTCGGAGTTTGAGAAACATCATAAAACAGGGGCTTGACAGGCGAGCAGTAAAGGACGTAAGCATGAATGCAAGGGAAAAGTGAGGAGGTAAACGTTTAAAATAGTACGTTAGTTTATACATTTTATTAACAATGGATTTAAATAAAGAGGCCAAAAGAGATTAGAACAACATCGAAAAGCCTTACGATGGAACTTTATTGGAAAGCATATCGGAAAAGGAAAAAAGAGAAAAAGGAGAGAAAATGATATTTAGAACAGAGAGTTTAACCTCTGCCAATAGAAGCGAAGGAACGGGTCCAGAGAAGGAGTCGTGAAGAAGGAGACACGATCGCTGGAGCAAGAGCTTTATTCGCCTGACGTTTCGGATTCCTGCTCGAACCCATTATCAGAGACAAAAGCAGATACCGGTGGTTCATACACAAAGGGTTGCAGTATTTATAGGATGCATGATATAGGCAGAATGGCATTACTGAAAAGACAAGGGAGACGGGTATGGCCATTTCTGGCTTATTAGCCGTTGTCAGCCAGTCATACCCAACCCCGAAGTGTGGAACAACCGAGGCTCAAACTCGGACTTCTAAATAAAGGGTCGCGAGTTCGAGCCCCAGGTGTTCCACACTTCGGGGTTGGGTATGACTGGCTGACGACGGCTAATAAGCCAGAAATGGCCATTCCAGTCTCCCTTGTCTTTTCAGTAATACTATTCTGCCTATATATCATGCGCCGCTGTGCGGCTGCTGGTTGGCCTCGAGAGAGAGCCCGTAAGGCACAACGGAACGAGCGAGTTCCGTAAGAACCATCTGTGAGCGTCCCCTACCATAGTATTGGTTATCTCTACTTCAGCTATTTTGGAGTTGTCATGTGTGAACTGTCTGCGTTTTCTTCGTAACTGAACAAAGTAACCACCCATTTTCCCTAAAAACTCTACACAGAGTACAGAGTCAGTGAAATAACAAATAACCACAAGCACTGTAATAAAAATGTCTGTAGTGAGCCTTAAGCAACACTTCGGGTTTGGGGAATTGCTTCAACACCGCCTGCAGGATATCGGCGAAGTTTGAAGTTCTAGTCGCCCAATCTTGCGACTTAGACGTTACCAAATGCTTTCATATTAGTTGAAATATAAGGACAAACTGGTTGCCGGCTTCTGTTTCCAAGATTAGGGCATTGCCCGAGTAGACAAGTATGGTCATCCTGAAAGATTCACAACGGCAGATCCTTGGTCTCTGGCGAGATGCTTTCATTCAATGCTCTCCCAGAGTCAGTGACGTCAACATCAAGGCGCATACTTATTTCCAAATTCTTCATTAGTCTAAAATACCTTCATTTATGGACTGATGCTCTGTCCCATGACGACAGATATGTCTGTTAGCGTAGATGTTGGCTACGAGAAGCGTCCTGGATTGTCAAATGGTGTAGACACCTTCGGTAAGGGCCAAATACGAAATAGGCATTCTTACGGTTGGCGAACAACCACTGATGAACTAGCAGCGGCAACGTTGCCAGGTCACGAATAACTGAGGTCTGATGGATCAATTGCCCTATGAACCCTGCGAGACACCACGGCGGCACTACGACACCGGACCCGCGAATCACCACTGTGTGGATTACCGTACAACTGATCTAACGCAGTTAGGTTTCAAAAAGCAAAATAACAAGGCGAGATAATCGCAAACAAATAATCCAGACGACTGCTTATAATCTGCCTTTACAGTTTTTTTTTCAGGGCACCACATGGAAATAAATGTCCAAACACTTCGTTACGACCCATTCCACGGCGTCTGCGGCACCAGCGCGCTTTTCTGTTCTGGTCCACTGGTGCAAACGAATGTCATTTTAATTGGACGACTCAATCAGAAATGGGTCCGTTATATTGGAGGTTGGGATGCGCGATTTCGTATCGATCCCGGTACCCAAAGCCGGACAAAGCGCAATCTTCACCACTACAACGTGAATATAGGTTGCCCGTTTGATGCGTAGATTCGGAATCCCAGGTGTCAATTACAGTTATGTTCTTTATCCCAACTGTTCCGGTGCCCCCTTAGATAGTTACGGGGTGGCAATTGCCAAATTAGAATCGGGATATTCGAATTCACCTAGGATGGGCATTCACTGATCTAAACTGGTCGCAGATTGGAAACAGGGATTTTCGTTTAGACACGGAGATCCGGGTCTAGAACCCGTGCACTCAGTCGAGCAGTGAGATGCGTTCGATAATCAAGAAGTGTTACCAGCAAAGACAAGGATCACGGGCGGCACTGTACTTCATTTATCGGTTGCTTATTCCTATTTAGTCACCTTTGAGGGCTCTAGACCTGAACTCCAAGGCAAGACGGGATCTTCCACATTCCATCCTACATTCAGCATGCATTTTTCCTATTGATTTTTGATTTTCTTGTAAATTCAAATATATTTAATAGAAAACAGGCATAAAAATATCCTTTCTTTTGCTCATTTGGCAGGAAATCACATTATCTTCCTATTTTATGCCCGAAGAAAGTGTGTATCTAGGTTTTAAAAAGTTTCCCAACTCCCGAATAATTATCAGTCTGATCTGCCATTACATCAGCGTTTAGCAATTTCAGTCTACAAGGTGCATGCTTTCCGCGTAAGGAAAATTATATATTCCTCTATGCCTTTACGAAGATACCTCATAGAGTTCGTGAAATTTTGCAGTGGATCCGAACTGCGTCGTACATTTACTGCAGAGCATTAGTAAACGAACATGTGCGGTCTTACATGCATGGACATCACACGGACTTAGAAACTTCATAATAAAATTTAAAAAAACCTAAATACACCCTTTCTGCGGGCATAAAATATGAAGATAATGTGATTTTCTGCCAAATGAGCAAAAGAAAGGATATTTTGTAGATGTTTTCTATTAAATATATTTGAATTTACAAGACCATCGAAAATAAATAGGAAAAATGCATGCTGCATAAGTAGTCATTTTATACCAACTGTGGTTTCTGCAGGTGGTCAAAAAGAAGTGTATTCAGAAGCCAACATCCTGGCGATTTCGAAATATTATAGGGTTATGCTGCATGATAGTCAGTATTACAACCCCACTTAACTAATCCTTCCTAATCGGAAACGCATTCCAGAATTTTGGCCAACATTTCATGAGATCGGTCACGCACTGCAGTCCCCTTTGAGGGCTCTGGACATGAACTCCAAAGTAAAACGGAATCTTCCGCATTCTATCCCACAATCCAGATAAATCGGTGAACGCCATTTAAGTTTGACTTTCAGTGGTTTTGGTCGCAGCCAAGGGGACATGTACGTAAGGCTCTAGAGGTAGATCGCTTGTCCAAAGTGTCTGATGACCAAAGAACTCCGTTTTACGCCTCAGGTCCTGTCGGACTGACATACGACTGTCCGACGATGGCTAATTAGCAAGAAATTGTCACTCGATGCCTTCTACTTGCAGCTACAGTATATAGTTGGAAGACTCCCAAAAACTTGAAAATAGTTGGCGGCGACTGAACTAGCCTGACTGAGTTGCAGAATCCTAGGAAAAATGGGCAAATTGGCTGCTTTCAACATTGCACTCGTTGTTACAATAATGAATGGATGTAGAACTTCTATTTCCAGAACTGTCTGTTTGTCACCAACGCGCACTTGCTGAAACAGTACTCCAACGATCGTTCCGAGGCCAGCCGGATCTATTGTTTTTTTCAGTCGGTTCCATATTTCACAAGTAATTGCACGGTAGCTACTCGGTGAGGCATGCCGAATACGACATCACTAAAGAGTTAGGTCAAGTTACCAGACTAATTAGACGCACAGAGAAAACTGGGATCTTAATGGAATATCACAAGGTGATTTCAGTAATAGGATGAATCGAATGGAA